CAAGCTTGATAGCACGAAACGTTTTGCACGAAAGACAAAAAGACATGGCAGTTACAAACTCTTGCTTCCAAGTAACTTTTAACTTTTCTTTTATCTCAAGTAAAATGCGGTTTTTTGATGGTTGCTGGAGAAAGTGCCATGTAATGCACGCGTGTTGCTTTGATCAGGTGATTCAATGCCCTTTTTCTTCTTTCACTGCATTGATATTTCCAAGCTCTAATATTAAAAGTTATTTGAAAGTAAACCTGTGAGCCTGTCATGTCTCTGTCATTATACAAGAAGTTCTATGCTATAAAGCTTGAAGGGAAGACAGTTTAAAGCAGTTGAATAATAAATGAATTTGAGCCATTTTGTGGTTGGGATGTTCACCTATCATGGGTCTTCACAGAACAAGTGGTGTAGGGTAAATTTGATCATCAAAGTTCCCCAGGTGCACTTTGGCTTCTGTGTAGAGTTCTGCTTACTAAACGTAAAAAATAAGCAGCCCAATAGGGCACTTAGGAGGAGGGCTTGCCATACTTCCTCAGGACAAGTCTTCACAACCGATGATGCAACCAGACCTTACCGTAATTGTGCCGGCGCCTGGTGCACCACTTGTGGTTGTTCTACCTAAGGCGTCCTCCATTTCGGTGACCCTCAAAGGCTGCGTTTAAGCATTATCCCTGACACAGATTGCATTTCTAGCATCGTTTGTCTCAGAAAGGCAAATTTTGCTATTTTTTTTCTTTTTAGACTTCTGCTCTGCTTATGCCTTCCCTGAGCACAACATGTCTTGCACCACCAGATGTCCTGCATTAGCCCAAAAGGGATCTCAGAATATCCTACACTTCGCTTGAAGGTGTTGATCCATTATTCTGTTCACAAATTTGCACCCGCTGCTTGGAAGCTAGCTCTCCAGAACAGTTCTACTAAATTTTTTTTTCTGTGATGAACCCACTTACCCATGTAGTAACCCAATCCAGTCTCTGCGGCGGCATTTTTGGTTTTGAGCGAAAAAGCAGTGCTCGTTGTGCACAAAAATTTGAGCAATAGATACAAATGAAATTATCAGCTCTGCAATTTCACTTTCCAAGGGGCACAATTTACGTCTCCACTGAGAATCAAATGCAGACTAGCGATTGGGAAGGCGATAGTGTGCATGCATGCCGACATTGCATTCGACTTTTAACCATAAAAATTAGGGGCTCTAACTTTCTAGCTTATTTACTACTACCATTTTCACTAAGGCTGTTTTCTAGTTGCTGATTGCGATATTTATTCCTATGCATACTCATGCATTCTCCCCTATTAGATGTGCTGTGGCATGAGATACATTTCGTTTTGTACGCATGTAACGGCAATATAAAAATCGCCACATCCCAGAAGGTCCACACAAAGCTTTCAGTAACAGGGTCTAGGCTTTGAGGATATTGCTAAGTCAGGTGTTATGTGCTTTTGCTGTCCTATTCTCTCACAAAAAGTATAGCATGTGGTTCGAGGATGTTAGGTCTTTTCACAGGAATAAGCGGCAGCGTTGGTACGTGCCTGTCTTCAAGTGTATCGTCCTTGATGCGACTCATCATGGATGAGTCGGAGTTACAAGGCACACTGACTAAAGTTCCTGAAAAATTACGAGTCGGTGCCGCCAACTCATGGGATGAGTCACATCAAGAACGATACAGTTGAAGACAGGTGCGTACCAACGCTGCCGCTTATTCCTGTGAGAAGACCTAACACCCTCGAACCACACGCTGTACTTACTGTGAGAGAATGGGACAGCAAAAGCACATAACACCCAACTTAGCATTATCCTCAGAGCCTAGACCCTGTTACTAAAAGCTTTGTGTGGACCTTCTGGGATGTGGCGATTTTTATATTGTCATTACATGCGTACAAAATGAAATGTATCTCATGCCACAGCACATCTAATAGGAGAGAAGGCATGACTATGCACAGGAATAAATTTCGCAATTAGCAACTAGAAAACAGCCTTAGTGAAAATGGTAGTAGTAAATAAGCTAAAAAGTTAGAGCCCCTAATTTTTGTGGTTAAAAGTCGAATGCAATGTCAGCATGCCTGCACACTATCACCTTCTCAATCGCTAGACTGCATTCGATTCTCAGTGGAGACGTAAATTGTGCCCCTTGGAAAGTGAAATTGCAGAGCTGATATTTTTATTTGTATCTATTGCTCGAATTTTTGTGCACAACGAGCACTGCTCTTTCGCTCAAAACCAAAAATGCCGCCGCAGAGACTGGAATGGGTTACTACATGGGTAAGTGGGTTCATCACAGAAAAAAAAATTTAGTAGAAGTGTTCTGGAGAGCTAGCTTCCAAGCAGCGGGTGCAAATTTGTGAACAGAATAATGTATCAACACCTTCAAGCGAAGCGTAGGATATTCTGAGATTCCTTTTGGGCTAATGCAGGACATCTGGTGGTGCAAGACATGTTGTGCTCAAGGAAGGCATAAGCAGAGCAGAAGTCTAAAAAGAAAAAAAAGTTGCAGAATTTGCCTTTCTGAGACAAACGTTGCTAGAAATGCAATCTGTGTCGGGGATAATGCTTAAACGCAGCCTTTGAGGGTCACCGAAATGGAGGATGCCTTAGGTAGAACAACCATAAGTGGTGCACCAGGCGCTGGCACAATTACGGTAAGGTCTGGTTGCATCATCGGTTGCGAAGACTTGTCCTGAGGAAGTATGGCAAGCTCTCCTCCTAAGTACCCTATTGGGCTGCTTATTTTTTACGTGTAGTAAGCAGAACTCTACACAGAAGCCAAAGTGCCCCTGGGGAACTTTGATCATCAAATTCGACCTACACCACTCGTTCTGTGAAGGCCCATGATAGGTGAACGCATGTAATTACAATATAAAAAATCGCCACATCCCAGAAGGTCCACACAAAGCTTTCAGTAACAGGGTCTAGGCTCTGAGGATAATGCTAAGTTGGGTGTTATGTGCTTTTGCTGTCCTATTCTCTCACAGAAAGTACAGCGTGTGGTTCGAGGGTGCTAGGTCTTCTCACAGGAATAAGCGGCAGCGTTGGTATGCGCCTGTCTTCAAGTGTATTGTCCTTGATGCGACTCATCATGGATGAGTCGGAGTTACAAGGCACACTGACTAAGGTTCCTGAAAAATTACGATTAACACAATTTATGCTAACCACCATATCAAAACCAGCTGAACACATATAGTATAACAACTCACTCGCCTTCTTTAAAGGAATCGGCTCCTCAGGACAATACATCGCAGCAGGTGCCATAGATGTCATAGATGTAATAGCTCAAGCAGAACATTAGCAGCAGATCTGTCCATTCGCGGTACCTAACCCCTTGGATTCCACTCTTTCATTCAAGTGCCAACATTCGCGGGAAGCATGTACACACCGGAATGCTTGCAGGGTCTTTGTCACAACGAAGAGCCTCATCGGGCCCTACAGTCTACTTTACAGTCAACAAGACTACCTGCCCATCCTGCCCATGTAGCCGGTGACCTATCTAGAGTGCTTGTTCACTCCCCCCAGTTGTATATAAGGCTTGTGAAACGGCTGCCGCAGAGTTAAAGTTAACCTGCAGAGACAGCATGAGCCCCTCTTTACAAATAGAGAAGGGACGGCCAGGCACCCCTGAGCATGTCTTCCAGACATTTTCATAGTCCCTTGAGGATTCTGAAGACGGCAACTTATTACCCAAGGTAGCATGCTGCCTAACAGCTAGGAGTTTGAGCCTCATACCCCACAACTTTTCAGAACCCCTCAACAGCTTGTCGCGGTGGGGTTCTGATAATGCTTTCCACATTGGAAAAATTTTTAAGAAATGATTCCAAGGGTAAAATAAGGCACACCGTTTTTGTTTTGCAGGGTAATAGTTGGAAAACGTGTATAAAATTTGTGGTAAAAGTCCATTATAGAAAACTTTTCAGTGCATGTTGAAACTTCATATGCCATTTTCTCAGCTTCACACTTTATGCGAACCTGACCAGCCTAACAGAACATTAATTCATGTTTTAAGCTCCACCCTCTGGTGGCCTAGAAATGTCAAACTGACGTTTACAGCCCCTGCAACATTCAGGGAGACCTCACACACTTCCTCTGAGACTGCCCGCAGTACTCAGACCTGCCTCAAACACATTGAATGTCGAGCACCGTTTTTCCAAGACCGCATAAAGCACGTATCTTAGCTAAATGGGTGCAGCATCGCCCCAGCTAAGCGCGCGCCGACCGCGTAGCCCGGGCGCGCATAAGCGCCCGAATTCACCAAGATGACTGCCAGGGCGCCTCTTGGTCTGAGCGAGTCAAGCTTCGGCCCCGTCTCATGCTCGCCTGTCTGGGCATGCTATGCTGGCACGCTGCGCGGGCCTATGTCACAACGCAGCGCCATTTTCCTTTGGGCCGCGCGTGACATCCGCCTTTCCTACGAGCTATGTTGTGCCCGAGGATTCGCTCGTTGCGGCAGATGCTCTCAGGCCTTCACGAGGGGTTGACGTGCTGCTCAGCAGGCAGCTTCTCGTTTGTGCGTTTGACTTCGGCCCTTGTGCGGGAGTCGTCGCGCCGTAGGCAAGCGAACTTGCTCGGTCTTGCAAAGTTCACTACACGGCCTGCAAGCCCGTGAGTGTCGCACTGTTCTGCATCTGGGGTTAATAAACCCGTCGTTGTTGTTATCCTGCCTCGTGCGTGGTTTCTGCGCCGTGTCGGAGAAAATGACTAACCCAGCTGCAGCGTCATCGCACGCAGCGTCACTGGAGGACGTCGCATCCCTACACGGTTGCGCTTAGTAGGTAAGCCTAGTGCGAACCTATCTCCACAAACTACCGCGGTGCCCAACTGGCTCTGGTGGTAATCTCATAACAGCTTTCACTGTAAAACAACCTCAACGTTGGCCTTTAGTAGAATGAGGCCAAAACGAATCTCAAAGGTGTCAGCTGTTATCCTAAAATAGTATTCCTATTTGTTACTGTAGCATTCACTCCTTTGCTCTTGCAGCAAACACTGACTTTATGTTACGGCAAATGCAAAGAAATACCTTAAGACACAGCTTGGGGCTCTGTTTGTGTGGCACTTGTTGACAGAATTTTCTCTTCATTTGCTTGTGATGCTTCGTGGTGTGTTAGCAGTCCGACTTGAACAGACTTATCTATGACTTGATGCTGCTCACACACTAGCTGTGGTGGTGTCTCTACTGCTTGTCCAGACTGATAAGCCAGACTCTGTCCTGCTTTGTACACTGGCTCCGCAGGAATGTCATCCTGAAATAAACCGGCTTCTGTGGTTACTAGTGATGATGCTAAACATTATTTCCAAGAGATGTGAAAGCCCACTTACGTAATCTCTTTCACCAGAATCACTGGGTCTTGACGTTTGCTCAATGCTGTTGTCTACAGCAAGCAGCTCTCGAATAACCTGCAACAGTATATATGAATAGATGGGTTACTGACACATGCAGAATAAAAGGAGTACTTAGGGCATGTATTCAAACGAATACTTTTGAGATGTGTTTAAAGTGAGATAGTGAAACAACTTATACTTTTGCATAATCGTCTAGTGTCCCGTTTTTCTAGCATTGATCTCAGCTTCGTCTTTTTGTTATCAACATCAATGTTGTTATGACAAGTCAAACCTACTATACCTTTAATTATGCAGTTTGATTTGGGAAGTATGACAGAATAATATCAGATACCAAACTACATTTATGTGATTCTACAGTACTGAAGTTGAAGATAACCTAAATTCTGTAAATAAGCCTCCGCAGAGCTGTAAATTATTTAAATACTTGTAGTAAAGAGGAGGAAGAAGGCATCTGCTGCTTTGAGCTTTATCTGCATTTTCATTCAGCTGGCGCTACATCTACTCTGCAAGTCGTCAGCGGTACGTAATAAATCGCAAACTGACATCTAACAGAAGTACGGATTGCTTGTGTGGAGTACGATATGAATACGAAATCACACCTGCTTTGTTCGTCTTGTCGAGAATGCCACCCTCGGAGCCTGCCCACCATTACTCGTGGACAAAGATGGATGGCACACGACATACAGGATGCAGACTTCACCGGCATTCCCATTAAATGGAATGGCGATAAACCCTGATGGTAGTGCCTGTCGCAACAATGTTTTGAGCAGAGAACACTGGTTCGTGAAAGCTCAAATTCACTTCCTTTCACAGCAGCAATCAGCTCATTTATGTGTTTTCTTTTTGTTTGAAGCAAGAAGTTGCAAAGACCTACTTACATCGTCTCGGCCGTCCGTGCTCAAAGCAAAAGGCAAGCATGGCCAGACTATGAGACGAAGTTTTTTTTTTAGCATAAGAAAGGTGACTGACGCGCAAAACCTACACAAGGTGACAGTGACGATGCCCAGGATGCCTCTTTTTCATAGCGGCTCTGCTTCGATGTACAACAATAGAACAGCTATATTACTCTACTAAACGATTTTGGTAATTTTGGTGCGAATACGGACGTGCTGCCGTTCGGCCAAATTATAGCAGGAATCGTGTCCCCGAACCTGCAGAGAAGAATTTTTTAAAGATGGGAGCGAAATTCTCAGTACAAAGACCCTGGATTTAGCGAAAAAAAAGAAGCACTCCGAACGCACACTTCAGTAAGTGTCTACATTGACGTTTCTTTGCACCCTCTTTCTCTGGCTGCCCGGCAACTGTGAGAGCTACCTCACTGACCGGCGCGTCCGACTTCTTTTCGCTGGCGTCGCCGTCGGCTACCGTGGGAGTGTGCTTCCTCTGCGGTTCATCACAGCACTGAGCCGACGCTACCACTTTTCCGGCAAGGGATCACACCTGTTTGCAATGCTGAAGAAAAGGACATCATGTAGGAGTCTGCCGATTCTCAAGACATTCTTCTGCTGTCAGATCCGGCCATAATACGATTTCCTGTACTTCGACGATACCTGCTTTGACAGGGCATGTTGCAATAATGCATGTTCCACTGGCTCGCGTCCCAACTGCCCGTACCCCTACTTTGTCATTGATGTTGTGTGGCACAGCATTCACATATGTTCCCACTTGGACAAGAGTCATGCCAGACCTTACAAAACAGAATGACGACTCCTGCCCTGGTGATGCCTGCTCAGGTCGGTTCTATTGCTATGGCTTATGCTGCACCTACTTGTTTTCTGACGGCACATTCTTCTGCTGTTCCTGCTACAGCCATCATACCTACTACTGTGTATAGTCCTGCTGCAAGGCTATTAAGTGTGGGTGGTATTACAGAGATTGCTACTGGTCTTCGTGCCCCCAGAGGCACATTCACATGCCGTGCCAGCTTCAACTGTATCTGTCGGTGTGCTACAAGTTCACTGCAGAAGCCAGAGGAAGAAGACTCCTACCGGAAAGTTTTTCTGGCTAGTAGGTTTGGCAGCTGATGGTCGTGTTTTGTGTGGGCTCTGGACTGACTGCACAGATGTCTTTTTGTATGCTTTGAGTTTGCTGTTATTAATTATTAAGGCAGTAGTATGAACCTTTATTGGCAGTGAGACTGAGCAAAGTCGCCACCTGGCGGCAACTAGCCGAAGAGGGGAAGTGTGGATTGCTCCGTGCGTCGTCTGCTAGCGACGTCGTTTTTCTGTGTGCGTGTACGTCATGCACGTTCTCAAAGTGTGGTTTGTACAATCATGTCCACGCAAGTGTAACAGCTTTTATGTGTGCCTGAAACGACGTACGAAAGCATTTGGTCTTGCTCGGCTGCTAATGCATTGTAATAAGATCGGCGAGTGCAACTTCCTAAAGTGCTGTTTATTAACGCGATAGCGTTAGAGAGTTCGTGTCGCGAAAATCCCGCCGTCGGCAGCGTTGATTGTGAGGGAAAAATCGAGAAAGAAGGAAATAAAACAAAGAAGAAAATATTTGGTCCCATTGAGGATCAAACCCGGGTCGTTTGCGTGGCAAGCAGGTGTTCTACCACAAAGCCCCGATGTTCCTTGCAAGTGCTTTAGGCAAAAACACTACACAAATGCGATGTAGTGAAAAGAGTCTCCTAAAGGTATTTTGTTCGACAGCTGTCACGATGAAAACTAGCCCATTCGGCAATTTGTAGGCGCATCTGGGAGGCGATAAAACTATGCCGAAAAAGGCCGCGATAATGCAGCCATCGCGGTTATAACACACAGGAACTTTCAAACAGCTCTAAAAATGGACAACTATGTCCATCTAGTGGAAAACACGTCATGCCTTTCTAGAGGCGTTGATCAAGCAAACAGCAAGTGCTAGATAATGTGCTGCCATCTGTGAGGCATTGTGAGACTCTTTATGCCCTTTCAAGAAAATGCCATTTTAATAAACCATAACGCTTGCATAGATTTAGCTTTTTATTCTCATGACACCATAAAAGAAGTGAACAACTGCAGTTGCCATTTCACTGATCATTTACAAATGCAGGTGTCACGCCTAGGCGCAGTTCATAATACAGGACATGTGACTATATCACTGTATAACATTTTCATGAAGTTGTTAAAAAGTGCTGTTATATAGATTGAAAACCTGCACTATTACTATAGATGCGTCACGCTTGCATGCATTTGTATGTGTAACCAAAGATAATAAGTATGCACTTAGTGGTTAAAGGGCACACTGGGGGCCGGATTTCTCTATCGTGTTTAACACTTAAAGGCGAAGCTTAAGGGTACCCTAATTTTTGTCGTCGTACCCTCCATCTACCAAAATAACTTCAGAGTGGGTGCCACTTTGTTTCAAGCACATCACAAAATGCTTTTGGCAGCCTCCCAAACATGAGGACTATTAAATGGTGTGTGAATGCAGCATTTTATAGCTACAGAGTTGTAAAAAAAAAAGAAAGAAACACAGGGTCTAGGCCATGCACTTGCGCACTGTTAGTAGGTGAATAACTACAACACTGTAGTTTATCGATCATGCGAGGAGCCTTACTTGTGTTTATCTGGCCGTGGTACCATTACGCAGAAATATTACTATCACATAAACTGTGACACACCGGTACATAAACTGTACTTAAAACAGAGTTCCCCTGCGTAGCCGAGTCCTTAGATTTAAAAGCACCTTAAAGAGCCCAGACATTGAAAATTAACTCGGAAGGCATACCTTATATACAATGTCGTATATTTCACTGACAATTTCATCTTTTTTACATTGGCTTCAGCATTTGTGCGGCATTGTTAGTGACCGACGGAAGGCAGTGGTCACTTTTTGTCTGTAAAAAAAAAACATGTTTGTCCATTAACCAGGCTTTTTTATAGCACACGTAATACATCAATAAAAGCTTTCTTTTGAACTATTAAATAAGTTTGTTATATTTTTACTGGTGCAAAAAAATTTGTGTACACATGGTAAACACAGTGTAGCCCAAACCACCATCAGCCACTAAGCTTTCCTGACCAGACTTATCAACTGTCCCACATTGCATGATGAACAGAATCAGAGAAAAAAATCACATGTGGATTAGGTGCGAACAATGGTACTGCACTAATCGCACAGATATGCGGGCTTTCTACTATCTTTCTCTCTGTTGTAGTATGCAGATGATAAAGATTACATAGGTAGTTCAGTCATGCTACAGCAGTGCATAGCAGGCAGAATACAAGCTAAACACCTACAAACAGAACAGAAGGCTTGTTTAGTGCAGAGGCGTGAAAAGAGTCACCCAAGGCGAGCACCCTACAAAAGGCAGAATGCACTTTACTCGGGGGTAATGTTAACAATACATAGGCGTTGTGCACCGATTCAGTAAGGAAGAGTGTAGATATTAACAATAAACTGTAGTCAACGCATTTTATCCACTGACAATCGGCTCAGATCGCATGCAAAGAAGCGCTGCTGCGTGTATTTGTATGCGCGCCGTTGACCGCCTATCCACACTTGCGCTGGGAGAGTGCTGCCACTATTAGCCCTATCTCACCGCAAATAGCATGTATTACATTAAACGGCTGTTGGGGGGGGGGGGGGGTCAGTCACTTAGTATTTGTTTGTTTTGTTTTTTTCTCCTGCGACCATGTGGCGGGGGGTGCATGTACACCAACCACAAAAATTTTTGTAGTAGAGCTTACTTTTTTACTTCGAAGAGTGTTCGTTGTAAGCCACATCCTGTAATTATCGAGTGGGGCAATTCAGCTACACGTGGACACTGGTGAATTGGTGTCAAGAAAACATGGTTAAAAAGACAAAAATGTTCAGGATGTGGGGTGGGTTTGAAAATGGAGGCTAGTGCAGATGTAAATGCCAAGGAGGCTGACACCAGGTGTAGGCA